ATCTTTTCCTTCTATATGACCTCTTCACGTCAGACCAAGTTGACCGTTTCTTCACACGCTCTAACCTGGAACACTTAAGGGGACACCCAAGAAATCTCTTCAAACACCGGCCCAGAAACTTCATCCGCTCCAACTTCTTCACGTACAGAGTCATCTCAGAATGGAACCAACTTCCACTGGAGATTGTGAACTCCTCCTCCAAAAGGGTCTCCAAAACCCTGTTAGACTTACCCCTAGGGTTTACCATCCCCTGATCTATTTGACCTCCATCTGCTACAGGAAATCCCTACATTATCCTGCTTATCCTTGTTACTACTCCTCTCACATCTTCGCGCTCCTCTAGATTTTTTTCCCGATGCGTGCACCCTTAACCCAGCGGCACCATATCGAAGCCAGCTCCAATTCCCGTCAACATCCCTTTCAGCTCGTTCACCAAACTGCCGAAAAGAAGACAAATCCGGAACTGGGAATATTGGGCGCAAGCCTCGAACCCGAGTACTACTTCAAGACTTCTACTTCAGCAACGAAAGTCAACAGAGTTTCGTCGGTAACGCCGTGACCACGGGTGATGACATGCAAGATTCTCCTTCCGGACCGTATCATCTTTTCCCAGATGCCTGTCCAATCACTGATCTCCAGAGGACCAAAACGCCCATCGATCTCTCGCTCCAACATAAATCCGTTGGTTTTGGTATCTGAGAAAAGATGAAAACACGCCCGAAGTTCGTTATAAGCATCTCTAAAGTTAGTTCCGTTGTCTCTGAAAATCACTTTCGGTCTTCCTCATCTTGCTATGAAGCGCAGAAAGGCTTGCAAAAAGGCGTCGGATGAGAGAGAATGAGTCACTTCAGTGTGTAGTGCACGTATATTTAGGCAGTTGAATAAACACCCATATCGCTTTTGTTCGAACCGCCTTTGCTCTACGTATAGTGGACCAAAGAAGTCCACTCCTACATGCAAAAAGGCAGGTCCATCATGAATAACCCAAAAGGTAAAGGTAAAGGTGCCATTTTTTATAGCCAGGATGCGCCTCATACCTTCGGCATTAAATACATCTTCCAATGACATGTTGAACGGCGGATCTGCCCTTTAGTACCCCTCAGCTAAACATCACGCGGTCTAAAAAGAGTGGTCACCATGCCCTAACCGCAAGAGCCTTTTGACTCAATTTGAACGATCAGCGGTCTATAGATAAAAAAGTGGCCACCATGCCCAGACCGTAAGGAGCCAGCGTTAACGGGGAACGCCATAGCGGTGTACTCCTGTTGGTCTCCAATTGACGTTCATGTGATGAGCAAATTGAGGTAAGCGACAACAGTTCTCACCGAACATATCTTTTGTGAGTGGTCTCAAGAGGCAAAAAGAAATAAAGAATTTGAAATAAAGAAATTAAAAACAAAATAACTAAACAAAGAAAACAAAGAGATTATGATTATAACAGATAATAAAAGGTCTACTGCACGCCGCGCACGGAAAGCCCACCACGCTCTCATGCATCGTATACCACACAGCATGCACCCGAACATATCTAAGCAAACCACTCACCATTGCAGCACACGAAGGCATACAAGAAACAAACATCGCACAAAAAAAGTGACACGATGCTCCCTTTGCTGGCCAGTGCTGAATGTGCCACAACTGCCGGTCTCTAATATGAGTGCGAAAGTGCGACTCCACAATGGTACTTTTAGTTTCATATTCTTACCTTTCCTCCCTGTGTAAACCTTTTTGACTTAACTCTAAACAGTATCACCTGAAGTAAACCCCTGGTAATGTTGCTCGCTGGGGCAGCTGTCCGAATCTAGAGAAGGTAAACGAATCATCATAACCCACGAAAAAAAAATATTCACGTCGTAGCACCAGAGGAAGTCCCAAATCCTATTGGTGTATGAATCTGGACGCACGTTAGGCGAAAGCCTGTTTGCGTCC